GATACATACAAGCACTAGTGTAGTCAAAAGGTTATAATTATCTTTAAAAAGTAATTTTATTTATTATTAAATTACACATGTACTTAGTATTTGTCATAATTGTGGGTTGTCATTGCATGGTTTTTACTACTAATGATTATGTGTACTTGTATGTCTGCCAATGCCATTTTTTATTGTTGTTGTATAGGAAGTGACTGGAATAACTGAAGAATCCTGCAATGCACCATTGACTGCAATAAAGCTAGGTATTTTATATGTTCTATCACAATTGTGAAGAGTAATTATTAATTATTTCTACATAGATATTAAAGATCTTGATATTGTCGTTAAAGTATTAAAATCAGATCAACACTTGCCCTGTGCTTTATGGCATGAACTAGGTCTACAGTTAGGATTATATGATCCTAGACTAGTGGATATGGATGAAAGACACAGAGGAGATCCAATAAAGTGTTTCCATGCTTGTATGTCTGCCTGGTTAAGAGGAGAAGATAAAGTGAGAGAGAAAGGAGGTCCCAGTTGGTCATCATTAGCTACAGCACTGGATACAATAGGAGAGAAATCTATTGCTAGTTACATTAGAAATAAATATTGTATTTAACTATGTCCATCCTTAATATAGCTATGTCTTTATGTAACTAAATTTAATACTGGTATTTTGATATTTTCAAACTAAGTTCACCTTAATGCCACTATGTTTATGATTTATTGCTATGTCTTTATGTAGCTAGAATTATTACAACTGAACTAAGTTATTGTAATAATTATTGTCACCTATAATGGATGATTTTTTTAATTTTTATCTTAGAACTTTTATTTATTTTAGAACTTTTGAGAATTTACCAAAATTGCTATGCTGTTAACAGTGCAGTTTAAATTATTAAGGAAATCAGTCTCCATGGTGACAGTTATTAATCACGTGATCAAGAAGATTAAAAATGTCTTCTCATTCAGAGGCCCAGTGCTACCCTCTCCTGCACAGTAATGGCTCCTGGGATGGAGTCTGTAACAACGCGCGAGCTACCAACTACCTCGTCTCAGACTATCAGGACCTCCTAAATAACACTGGAGATGGCGGGGCCGTCTTTTACCTTCCTAACATTGAGCTTGATGCTTCTGATCAAAGGACGGAACACGTTCATTTTCAGAACAGCGCCGGGCTGCTCCTGGTCCTTATCCTTCTCTCCCTCACTATCCTTACTATATGGGTCTTTAAAGTCAAGAGGTTTCGGGTTATGCATGAAACTGGACTATCTATTTTGTACGGTGAGTCCTGGTGGGCGTGTACCTCATTCATGATACATGTACAGTATAGCCTCTCTTAATGGACACTCTCTATAGCGTACATCTCCATTTAACGGACAGCACCTAGTGTACCAATTACATTCCTTACTGTATAAAATAACCTCCACATAAAGGACACCTCTGTATAACAGAGACACTTTCTTGTACCCACAGTGTCCATTATATAGAGGCTAGTCTGTACTATAATGGGATCCACTTTATGCTGTTGTATTTGTAATGTGGTTGGTTTTTGGCATGTCCAATTTCATTGTAATTAGTACAGTTTGTGTGGGTTTAGTTGGCATCTTGTTAATAGTTTATAGTCAGAATCCCCTACCTCCATATAGTACACTCACTCATCATGTAGTTGCTGTTAATAGTTTAGAGATTGTACATGAACCATCACTTGGGGAAGATAGTGTTTTGATTTTTGACAAATTATTGTAAAATCTGCTTTGTGACATGAAAATTTTTCAAAAAAGAGAATTATACCTTCGCTATTTTTGTATAAAATTAGAACAAGAACAACAATCATCAAGTTAACTGGTTGTATGTGAATTGGTAATCACTATATGTCCCAAGGCATTAGTATGTACATGTACATATGTACTGATAGTATTATATGAGTGGTGCTGGTGGATGAATCATTCATAGTATGAGATTGTGTTCATTCTTGTTCAGTTATTGTAAGTTTAATGACATTAATAACTAGAAATCAGTTTGATTGTAATGCATCATAAGATGAGATGACCGTTCAGTATCCTTAGATTAAAGAGTATAGCTTTATTGACAGATATACATGTACATGTACTTTATGATGATATCAAGTGTTAGGTAGTTGAACTGATGATAAAAGGTTCAGTTATGTTGTATTACATGTACATATACTTGTGTTCCCATCTTGAGGGGTGGGCTTTAATTGGAATAATACTTTTAACGTGTCTATGAACAATAACTGGTTTTTGTTTTTGATATTACAAAAGCATAAAGTGTTTGTAATCCACCATTTTGTAGTGATGAGCAATTCTTAGTCCAGAGTATTCAATCAAGAGCTGTAATAGATAACACGTAGCTTTGTGTATGTGTACATGTAGTATTTGGAATTGAATTTTATTGATTTCAGTCCCAGAAGAATTTGGAATTGGGATTGATTGCAAATTTCTGGAGTTTTCTGTAGGCCTAATGATTTCAATAATGATTTCAATTGTTACAGCACAATTCTGTGTGGTTGTCACTGGTTGAATGATTTGCCTCCCCCCACCCACCTGTTCTTTTATACTGGAATAACCTACCAATGGTCTTGTGGGTTGGTATTATAACACATTAACACCTGCAGTTACATAACTAACACTTACCTGTAACTGCATGTTGTTGTTTGTTATTATTGTTATCGTATATATTGCATATTTACATGCAGGGCTGCCAATAGGAGGGTGGGGGCAGGTGGGGCATTTTGCCCCGGGCCCCCAATCAATAGGGGGCCCCCAAGCACCTGGTCAGTAGTAAAGTATGCATAGTTTTTCACAGAAAAAGATCAAAGAATCATGACAACTTTTTAAAGTTAACTCTTGCTGGGCTATTTTGTTAATTGCTGTTATTAATAAGGGGGGAGATTTGTATTAGTAGGGGCCCCATCAAAGTTTTTGCCCTGGGCCCCATGTAGCCTATTGGCGGCCCTGTTTACATGTTGTATGTTTTATTATTTTATTTATTAATTTATTTATCCCAGGTATTATAATTGGTGTCGTTATTCATTATGGGTTCCCTTCAACTCCTCAGGATGAGTTTTATCTAGCAGAGAAAGAGTGTGAGAGCTCAGGGACAGTGAGGACCTTTGAAATAGGAGACACAGTGACACTACAGACCCAAGGAGGGGACGGGTTCCGGTGCTCTATTAATAGTAAAGTGTTCAGAACTAGAGAAGGAGACAGGATTGAAGAAGCAGTGAGACCCTTTACTTGTATTTTATTATTATTATTATTATTATTATTATTTGTTATTATTAATTGTTGTTATTTTCAATTTGGTTATTTTGTGCACAATACACTGTAACATACTGAAGTACAGTCTTGTCATTGTGTTCTTGTTTTATGTTAATGTTATTAATAGATTGACACATACATGTACATGTGTAAGTAATACAATGTTCTCTCTCTCTCTCTCTCTCTCTCTCTCTCTCTCTCTCCTCCAGTTATTATTCGATCCAGAGTTATTCTTTTTTCTTTTACTTCCTCCAATTATATTTTATGCTGGATACAGCCTTCAAAAGGTACACCACAATCTACACAGTACATACAGCACAATATATGTTTATAATAATAACAATATTGTATATTAACATTCTTTATTGTTATTCTCTTCTCTCCAGAGACACTTCTTCAGGAACATTGGTTCATTGTTGATGTATGCTTTTGCTGGTACTGCAATATCATGCTTTGTTGTCGGGTAAGAGTACATGTACATGTACTTAAATTATTTATTATTATTATTATTATTATTATTATTATTATTATTATTATTATTATTATTATTATTATTATTATTATTATTATTATTCTCTAGTGCTATGATGTATGGTTGGGTACTCAGTACAATAGACAACAGATTATCTGATGCTTTTGCTACTCGTAATATTTCAGTCCCTGGGGCTCCTGAAGCTTTTGGAGACAACATCATTCCTTCCTTACTGTTTGGGTCATTGATATCAGCTACTGATCCAGTGACTGTACTGGCAATATTTCATGACCTTCATGTTGATGTTGATTTGTACTCATTGGTCTTTGGGGAGAGTGTCATGAATGATGCAGTGGCCATTGTACTCTACAGGTAATGCACTGATGAATGTTTACATGGTCTTGTACTTGTGTTGTGTGGAAGGTTTGAGTTGATTCCAATGAATTTTATAGTTACTCAAAAATCAGGCCAAAGTCCCTGTACTATAGTACAGTAACTTTGGCCTAATTTCGCCAAAAATGACTAGGAGAGAATCCTTCAATTTTATAATTTTTCCTGATGCATATACATGTTTTTATGTTCTGTAGAAAGTTTGAACTGGTTCAGAACAAAATTAATTTTTTTAATGGATTTTTAAATTTGCTCCAAAATCAAGTAAAAGTCCCTGTACTATAGTACAGGGTCGTTGGCCAAATTTTGCCAAAAATGAAAAGTAGAGAATTCTCCACTTTTATTACATTTTCTGATGCATATACATGTACTTACATGTATGTTGTGTAGAAAGTTTAAGCTGATTCCGATCAAATTTGGATTTTTTATGAATTTTTAAATTTGCTCCAAATGCCACGTACTGTATTGTAGTGCTTGTCAGCTCATCCTTTGAAGGAAACACTAACATTTACATGTACATAAGTTGTTTATTGTTGTTGTTGTTGTTGTTGTTGTTGTTGTTTACAGGTCAGTTGATGAGTATGATGGTGATGAAACAGGTTTCAGTGTAGCTGGTCTATTCAAGTCCTTTGGTTCATTCATTGGAGTATTCTTGGGATCATTTCTACTAGGAACTGCCATTGGACTCATAACAGCACTGGTAACTAACTGGGGGGAGGAAGGGAGAGATGTTTTTATATAAATTATGTGTACAAAAGTTTTTTTTATACGGTACAAGATTTATTGGTGGGAATAATATTTGGTGAATTTGCCTGTGGAAAGAAATTGGTGAATTTTATATTGGTGATTTTGTACATAGATATTAGAGTAAATGAAAGGGATTGGAAACGGGGCGTAGGCTGGTTGATGTTGCTATTGGTTACCGGCCCAAAACCTGGTTGATTTCCCATCTCCTCCATTAGTGAGGCTGTGCTGCAAGGACTTCGAAGAATATTTATGGAAATCCAAGAGGACGCTTACTTATGATATACCTACCGTTCCATATAGAAAGTTTAGGACTACCTGCAGCAAGGTTTTTACTTCTACAACGCTATTTTGCAACGAGTTATAGGTACAACAAAATTTTTTCACTTTTCGCCCTTTTTCTGTTGTAACAAACTCATGCTTCATGGATTCTAACCCTAACTAGTATCATTCGATATGCAAATGGAAACTCTTTCATATGATTATAAAGATATTGCATTTTACTCTAGCTTGTTTTCAAAAAAGGGATTATAATGACAAAAAATACATTTTATGGTTTTAAAAGTGCCATAACATTAACATGGTAAAATTATCTGTACAATAGAAAACAGAATTATAAAGAGGAAACTTTAGGCTTCTTGATGCATTAATTTCACTTGCATAGGAACACTTGTTTGCGAGATATTGCTCCTAAAAGAAAGAAAATCAAGGGTAAATTGTAACAAAAAATTTACGTACCACGTGTCATTGAGCATGCTCAGATTGAAACAAAATGGCGGATTTTATATTGGTGATTTCTTCATAGAACTGCCAATTGCTAATATTAATTCCCCGCCATTTTAAGATGAACAAAGAAGAGAGATTTTTACATGTACATGTATATTATTATTTTCATTATTATTATTATTATTAATTTATTTATTTATTATTATTTATTAATTAATAGATGATGAAGTTCTCCAGGCTGCGTAACTACCCACTGCTAGAGACCTCAATGTTCATACTAATGTCCTACTCTTCCTTTGTCATTGCTGAACTAGCTAGTCTCACTGGTCAGTTACTAGTATCAATATATCAATGCACACACATTGTAACATTGTTAGTATTGTCACTAGTGATGTACATGTACATGTAGATCTACCATATGGCACAAAATTTGTGAGGGCTGTAAATTTCATGGATTTTGCAATTTTTGCAGATTGGCAAAAATTACTTTCGTGAAAATGAAATTATTAAGGTACAAAGGGCAAGACAGCATAAATTCATGAAAATTTTGTCCACAAAATAGATTTTTTTTGGCTAATTCACAAAATTTTAATTTGTCAGTCCAAAATTTGTTTAAAAGGAAAGTATGATTTAATATTAGTCTGGTATTCCAGTCTATTGTTTGCTGGGTTTGATTCATTACACAATGTAAAGTTTATTACATTGTGAAGTCTCCTTGTTCTTATATAAACTGGTTTCCTTTCATGTGGTGTATTAATGATATTCATAGAGTACGACCCACGATAGCCTGGTGACATTAACTCACTATAAAAGGGTATCCTGGGCCTAGTGATGGGTAATTCTTTCTTGTAGATTTCTTGATGTCAAAAATTTTTGGATGGACAAGCTATATAGCATGTCCTTCTTTTTACTTGTTAACTCAATTTCATTTTGTTGTTGTGATTACTTTACAATGTCTCATTATTATTTATTACTTTATTGTTGTTGTTTACAGTTATTATTGTTTGTTTGTTTACAGGTATTGTTGCTATACTGTTCTGTGGTATCACCCAGTCCTACTACACCTACATCAACATGAGTCAGGAGTCACGACGGAGGACCAAAGAAGTCTTTGAACTAATCAACTTTCTATCGGAAAACTTTGTCTTTTCCTACATGGGACTCTCTTTATTCACCTTTGCTAATCACCAGTGGGTCCCTGGGTTTATCATCTTTTCCTTTGTGGCTATTTTCACTGGACGTGTCATCAATATATATGTCCTCTCATTCCTCCTTAATCTCGGACGATCAAAGAAGATCAGTTTTAGGTTTCAACACATGTTAGTATTTGCAGGTAAACATACTGTATTGACATTTTCTGGTAAATATTGATGTCCTTATGCTGTGTAGCAAGTTTGAGCTGATTCCGATTTTAATTTTTCAAGTTACGGCCATTTTAAGAAAATGCCAAAATTCTGAAAAATACCCAAGGCTATAGCCCATGGTTTTATCCAAAAAATGGCTCCGAAATCACCCCAAATTTTTATTACATTTTCTGGTAAATATTGATGTCCTTATGCTGTGTAGCAAGTTTGAGCTGATTCTGACTTCAATTTTTCAAGTTACGGCCATTTTAAGAAAACTTCAAAATTTTGAAAAATACCCAAGGCTATAGCCCATGGTTTTTTCCAAAAAATGGCTCCGAAATCACCCCAAATTTTTATTACAGTACATTTTTTGATACATATTGATGTCCTTATGCTGTGTAGCAAGTTTGAGCTGATTTTGACTTCAATTTTTCAAGTTACGGCCATTTTAAGAAAATACCAAAATTCTGAAAAATACCCAAGGCTATAGCCCATGGTTTTTTCCAAAAAATGACTCTGAAATCACTTCAAATTTTTATTACATTTTTGATACATATTGATGTCCTTATGCTGTGTAGCAAGTTTGAGCTGATTCCGACTTCAATTTTTCAAGTTACGGCCATTTTAAAAAACATGTCTATTAATCAACACCATCATTATTGTTATTATTATTATTATTAGGTCTAAGAGGTGCTATTGCGTTTGCTCTTGCAATACGTAACACAGAGACTGAGGAGAGACAGCTAATGTTCACCACTACACTGGTCATTGTACTAATCACAGTACTGATCTGTGGAGGGTTCACTACACTAGCACTACAGTGCCTTAGAATCAGGTAATGGGTACATGTACATGTACTGCATATACATGTACATGTAATTTATTTATTTATTTATTTATTTATTTATTTCAGAGTTGGTGTTGATGATGATGATGATAGTCTTAATCCTGACGTAAGTTCAATATTATTAATTTTTTATTATTTTTACATTAATTACATTATTAATAATTACACAACATGTTTATTAATTATCACAGGGTCAGGAGATACCCTATGACTCCACTCAAGGGAATCTGTTAATATCAAAGTTTTCAGTTCTTGACAAAAAGTAAATTACATGTACACTGTACATCACTTGTAGGAGGTACTTTGTTTGAAATTCTGCTTATCCATACACATATACATGTACATGTACAAGTACATGTACATGTACATGTACATGTACAAGTACATGTACATGTACATTTATGTAGTATCAAAATTTTAATTACATGTACATGTACCGTATATCCTCAAATAAAACCCAGGTGCAAATACATGTACATTTAAACCCCCAGTAGCAATAAAATGGAACTACATGTACATGTACATGTATGAAGCCTTGTGTGGGCAGGTCCAAGGTTCGAATCCACCTCTTAGTTCAAGTTTTATTTTTTTGAGGTCCAAATACCATTTTGCCGTGTACATGTACATGTAACTCGT